GTATTATTTTATTATTTATATTTTTTAAAATAAATAAAATTAAATAATAAAATTTTATATAATTTTTAGAGTTTATGATCAATGTAATCAAGAGCAACTTTCTGTATTTACTATTACATTTCATTATTTACTCTATGTTGCTTATTAAATTTGTCAATGTGGTCCTTTATGGACACATTTGCAATATCCAATGAAACATTTAATTAGAATACTTCAACCAATAATTAATTCACATCTTTATTCTTATACTAATTTAGTTAATAATATTCTTTTATTAGAATGATTTAATTATTTAAAATATATATTAATTAATTATAATGATAAAGATAATAAAAAAATTGATCTTGGTGATAAAGTATTTTATCAAACTAATAGTAATGGTGAAGAACTCTGGTGGGCTACAAAATATTATACAATTGATCCAAGAAGTCTTGAATTTAAATATTTACTTCAATGGTATAGAGAAAGTTATAGTTTAAATGTTCAAGCAACACAAGTAAGTTACTTATAATTATAATATAAATATTACATTTTTGTATTTAAATTATATTATTATATTTTTATATAGTTAAAATGTAATGGTAAAAAATATGCATGTTTACGTACTATAGATGGTTATATAATTGGATCAAAAATGTCTTTACAAAATGAAGATATATCATGCGATAATTCTTGTATAATGGTATTTATATTATAATTTAATAATATATATATTTTAATTTAATTATTTAATTAATTTTATTTTAATATTTTATAGTGTGAATTAAAAGTACCTATGCGAAATAAAAAAGCCAAAAGACTTGTAGTTAAACAGTTTTTTGGTAGAGTTTTATGGTATTTTGTTTATGAATATAATGATACAAGTGTAATGCTTGCCTATATTGAATGGGCTAATATACCTGATGAAAATAATTATCAATTTGGATTAAAAAAATTTTGTTATTTTGGTTGTAAATATTTTATTGATGTGAAAGCTATCAAAAGATGTATTGGGTTTTTTAAAATTGAAAATGAATATTATATATTAGATAAAAAAAATAATATAATTTTAGAATAAAATATATTATATTTTTATCTAATACAATTGTTTAGTATTATAATTTATATTTTTAATATATTTATTGCATATTAATAACTACTTAATATATGTTTTCGTATTTATTCAATATATTAATTAAATATCTATTTAATATATTAATTAAGTAATTCTGTATTGACAGTGTTTTTGTTTTTATTCAATAAATTAATTCTGTAACTATTCAATATATTAATTAAGTATTAATTCCGTATCAACAATAATTCCGTATCTATTCAATATATTAATTAAGTATTAATTCCGTATCAACACTAATTCTGTAACTATTCAGTATATTAATTAAGTATTAATTCCGTATCAAGAATAATTCTGTAACCATTCAGTATATTAATTAAGTATTAATTCTGTATCAAGAATAATTCTGTATCTATTTATTATATTAATTTAAGTATTAATTTTGTATTAACAATAATTCTGTAATTATTCAATATAATAATTAAGTATTAATTCTGTATCAACAATAATTCCATATCTATTCAATATAATAATTAAGCATTAGTTCTGTAGCAATGGCAATTCCGTATCTATTCATTATATTAATTAAGTATTAATTCTGTATCAACAATAATTCTGTATCTATTTAATATATTTATTCCATATTAATTTATTATATAACCTTATTATTTCGTATATTTGGTTTATATTCCATATATTATCTGTAATTTTCTTAGTATATATTTTTCCATAGAGAATATACTTAAAGAGCTTAAAAACAATATAGTGCAGATATAATAGTAATTAGCTATATCTTAATTAAACAAGCAAATAGCATTATACAAGAGATTTTTAGAAAATTTAGAACCTTGTATTTAAAAACTAGAAAAATTACAAATAAATATAGCAAATTTACCTAATATCTAAAATGATTAAATGAGATTGTATCTTGAACTCTCAAAGGATGATTTAGTTTGCTTTGAAATTATTATAATTTTTGTTATAAAAAATTTTGTTGCAAAACTTATTCATTATTATAATAACATATAATATATAGCTAAAGTTAAGCTAGTTTGTATTAAAATTATATTTTTTATCATACTATAAAAAAAATTTATTATAGAACTCTTACTATTCTGATAACACAAAGCAGTTGAATTAGCTTGTATTGAAATTATTATGATTTCTATTAAGTTATAATAAAAAATTTTGTTGTAAATCTTACTTGCTATACCAGTGATATACTATATATAATTAAAGTTAAGTTATTTTATATTTCATAATTTCTATTTTGAAAAACATTCTATTACTAAACTTGCTTACTATTCTAATAACAGCAATATATGATTAACAATAAGTTATATTGGAATTATTATAATTTCTATTGTAAGTTAATGTATTATAGAAAATTATGTTATAAACCTTTTATTCTAATAACATACAATATAAATTTAGTTTGTATTGTGATTTTTATTATAAAAAAATTCTATTGCTAACTTATCATTTCAGTAATATATATGTGATAAAGAATAAGTAATTTTATTACTGTATAACCTACTGTAAAAATCCTGTTGTAAAACTTACTCTATTTTGATAGCATATAGTTAGTGCTCGCCAAAATCAAATAAAAATTTGACTATCAAATACTTAATAAATATTTGACGATCATAATTTCCAAAT